AGGTTTCTATTTAAAAATTATTGGATAAATATTGATGCCTATTGGTCCCTCCTCCATAAGGCTTTTTCAAAGCCTTCTTATGGAAATCCTATTTCTCACCCATGTGGCACTCTTAAATTTTTTAAGGCTGAAATTAAACTGAAGGATTTGGCTCATTCTTCTTTAATCAAGTCTCATCTTGATAGATTGCATATTCAGCAGAAGATTTGTTTGGAGTCTCTTCATTATGTCCCGAATGATAGTACCTTGAATGCTTCCTCGAAAGATATTAATCACAAGATTGCAGATTTCTCTAATATTCTTGCTTCTTGGGTTATTCAACGAGCTAAATTTCATGGGCTTAAGAATGGGGAGGATGACCTCAAGTTTCTCTATGCAAAATTTAGGAATAGGCAAGGTAGCAATAAGACTGCTGTCAACTTGCTAGCCACCTCTCCTAACACTGACAGAAACTCTGTGGTTATTAACTCTACAATCCAGCACTTTCAAGCCATTTACAATCCTTCCCCTCCTTCAATTTTGGATGTTGGTCTTTTTCCTATTGGGGCTTGTTTTCCTGAAGCTTATGAAATTCTTATTACACAAGCTATTTCTGAAGAGGAGATTAGAAATGTGGTTTTTAAGGGGTGCTCTACCTCTTCCCCAGGACCGGATGGGTTTAATTTCTACTTCTATAAAACGGCCTGGCACATTATCAGTCCTATGGTAGTTAAAGCTGTGCGATCCTTCTTCCTTAAAGGATATCTTCCTAGTGGGGTTAAATCTATTGCTCTTGCTTTAATCTCTAAATCTAAGAATGTTGAAAATCTGCAAGATTTTAGGCCCATTATATTATGCAACACTTTATATAAAATTATTGCCAAGGTTAATGTTAATAGGATTAAGCCTATTATGCCTATTATTGTTAAAGATAATCAATCTGGTTTTATCAAAGGCAGAGTCTCTATGGATAACATCATTCTTGCTAATGAGCTTCTTTCTATGGTTCGCAAAAGAGGAAGTGCTAAATTTTTTTGTGCAAAATTAGATATCTATAAAACTTTTGATACTGTATCTAGAGAATTTTTACTTGCTAGACTTACGCAGAAAGGATTTCTTCCTATTATGGTGAGCTGGATTAAAGCTTGTATCTCGGTTGTCAACCTCTCCTTAATTATTAATGGGGCTCTTGAGGGCTATTTTTCCACCACGGCTGGCCTCAGGCAAGGTTGCCCTCTTAGCCCCTGCCTTTTTTGTTTGGTGATGGATATTTTTTCTTCATTGCTAGATGCTGTCATTTCAAAGGTATTAAGTTAGATGGGTTTTCTCTCACCCATTTACTCTATGCGGATGATGTGCTGATTTTTTGAGAAGCTACTTCTAAAAAATTGTATAAATCTATCAAAAAATCCTTGAGACATTTGCTAAAGCTTCAAGTCAGCATGTTAATCTAGACAAAAGTTCTATTTTGCTGGCTAGAAACTTTCCTAAACCGGATGCTATTTGTCAAGCTCTTTCCATCCATAACATAAGCTCAAAAATTTCTTACTTGAGCATCCCTCTGTCCTTCAATAGGCTTAAAATTATTAACTTTTTGCCTCTTATGGACAATGCTTCAAAAAAACTATCTGGGTGGAAAGTCAATCTCCTTTCTTTTGCGGGCTGATTACAATTCCTGAGATACACTATTCTGAATTCCATTGCTTACTGGATTCGTGGTTCCATTTTACTCAAAATTGTGCACAAATATTTTAAGAAAACTTGTTCTAAGTTTTCGTTCTTTGGTGATTTGACTGCTATCAAGAAAATACATATGGTCTATTGGGAAAAAGTTTGCATTCCCAAACAAAATGGTGGGTTGGGGCTGCCCTCTTTGCAGGTTACTCAATTTGCTTTTAATTGCTCTCTTATTCTCAGGATTTATAATGATAAATCTCCTTTGTCCACATGATTTTTTAGTAGATATATATCTCCTTGGTGTCCAACCAATACCAATTCTTCAGCTTTTTGAAAATCTGTTTGCAAAACGACTGATATTGCAAGGGATAAATTTTACTTTAAAATTACTCCCACTGCTCCTATCTCCTTACACTGGGATCACTGTATTATAATAAAAAGATTGCAAACTCTTCTGATGGTATCACTTTGCTGAATGCTACAAATTCTCATGCTAAGTTGAAGGATTACATTTCGGGTATGACTTGATCCCTCCTAGGTTTTATTACCCCTTATCTTCTAAACATGATTATGGGTATTCTCATTTTTGAATGCTCTAGCTACTGTTTACTTTGGAACAATCTAATTAATGATAAATTCATTTAAATGAAAAGTCTTTAGAAGTGCTCTTGGGGCAATTTGATTTGGCATCATAAACATGCCTTGTGTTACCCTTGTTTCTCTTAGCTAGCTGTGGTGGGAGGGTTAAAAACTACAGATGCTTTACTACTTAGGAACATTCATGTTCCTATTACATGTAGCTTGTGTCATGGTTTTCCTGAGAGCGTTTCTCATATTTTCTTTGAATGCTCATTCCTTATGCTGTTATCTCTCAGTTAATGCCCCCTGTCAAAAGCCTTCTCATTAGACCCACGATTCTTCATCTTGGGGAATGAATTAGTGGTGAATTACATGTGAAGCACCAGATACAATCTCTTTACCATCTCATTACTTGTTGCTCTATTTATTATATTTGGAAAGAAATGAATAATAGGAGATTTGGCAATGTTGTGAGCTGTTCTACCTCTATATCTATAAGCATCAAGAAAGCTATTTTTGAGAAAGTTCTAAAGTGGAAATGCTGATCTGATATCATTGATTTGCTCTGATTTTGGGTTCTTTCCCTGTTGTTTCCATGCTGATTGGCTTGTCGCTTTATCTCGTTTGTTGGGGGATCCTCGATTTATGCATGCTGCTAGTTGCCACTGTGTTAGCCTGGACAATGATGAAGCTCCCTCAGCAGGCCCCTTTGGACGGCCTTTGGGCAACTAGGAGATCATTCTCTACATGAGAAAGTTATGATGATGTATTTTTCCGGAGTCCAGGCTAAGTTTTGTCTGGGAGCCCTCAATTTTTTGGTTTTTTGTTCTTTACTTTTTGCCTGCCTTTTTGTTCTTTGCAGGTTTTTGGCTCCCCTCGTGCGAGCTTCCCTTCTTTAGGGGCTGGTTTTTGTTGTCTTTTTATTACTTGTGATTTCTTTTGCATCTCAATTAATATACGGGCAAAGCTCAAATTTTCTCAAAAAAAAAAAACTTGAACTCCTTAGGCAGAGAAAATGAAACCAAGAAAGTATACATTTGGGGAAGCAAATTCACATTACAAAGGATTTAAGTACAATTAATTTTGCCTTAAAGCATTGAAATGATTGATAATTGAACCATATGATCAATCAATGAAGCACTATAAACAAGGATGCCATCAAAATGATCAATACAAAATTTATTAAGTAATGGCTTGGGGATCTCATTCATTAATCTCATAAAAGTTTGTTGTGTCATTGTATATTATTTCACCAGAAGATAAGCAATTCCAAAGTATTATAGTACACATTTGTAGGGATATGAGATATATGCCATATTTTAGAGATTGCATTGGGACAATTGATGGAACTTACGTTGACGCCAGAATTATTTTGGAAGATCAAATTTCATTCATAGGACGACATCATAAAACTACTCAAAATGTAATGGCTAGTTGTGATTTTGACATGTGCTTTACATTTTTTTCAGTAGGATGGGAAGGTTCTGCTCATGATGCTCGAATTTTTAAAATGCTGTGACAAATCCTATATTTAATATTCCTACATTACCAACAGGTAAGTTTTATGACTAAATAAATTATATATAAATTTTTTTATAATATATTATGTTGTATGTACTGAATATTGTAAGTTTTTGAACATGTAAATATTATTTAGTTGATGCAACTTATACTCTACAAAGAGGAAATCTGAAGACTTACACATATACGATATATCATTTATCTAATTTTGTTCGAGGAAGTCAACCT